TAAAAATTGTGATTTACATATTTGTTAATTCAATTTAAGTATTTTTTTAAAGATTTGTTTTCTTTTATTTAATTTTATTTTTTATGTGATTTTTTTCCCAATAGCCGTTACACATAAAGTCACGATAGACCACTTCAAACGCCCAGTTTCTCAAAAGAAAACTAGGAGGCAGACAAAGGAAGTCAGATCTACCACACAGACACCACATCGGTTCTTGATAACAATTGCGTACATCAAAAGTACTTGAACAAAAATATCAAAATATTAACATCGGACAGTTTATTCACAAGTTCGAACATAAACACCTTATCCGATACAATAAAAAATTAAACAGACAACTTGTCGGTTCTTTTTTTCAAACTAATGAATACTTACTCTCTAAATATACCATATATATATATATATATATATATATATATATATATATATATATATATATATATATATATGATGGACTCTCCACATATGATTTGATTATAGTGGTGAATGCAATGTGCATAACCAACCACACTTTTTGAAGGACTGAATACAGAGAACTGGTGCAATACGTGCTACAAGGTCCCCAAGCAACCTTCTGCAGGTCTTAAATTCAGATATGTGTGTGTGTGTGTGTGTGTGTGTGTGTGTGTGTGTGTGTGTGTGTAATGAAAAAGATTTTAAAAATCGGACATTTTTTTCGCACACCAGAGTCAACTACAAATAATTTAACATCTTTAAAAATTTTTACCATATTTCTCATCATGTTTAATTCTCAAAACGTCTAACAATATACATTAAATATTATAGTCTTATTATCAATATTATTATTGTTTTTTTTATCACTCAAATGTCTTTCATCGGCCGATAATGTCTTCTTTTTTTTTTCGGTATCATGCCAATCAAGGCCGTACAGCCACTAGCACGCAAGGGGCTACAGTGTGTGGAGGATTTAAGAACAGAAACATTAGTAATGAGTAGAAAGAGAAAAGAACAGAGTAGACGGTGATTGTCATTGCATTTAAATTTTTGCTGATTAAAGTTGGCTGGAAAGAATGGAGCCAAAAGAGAGCAGTGGATTCAATATAGACATTACACTTCATGTCAGCTGAGATCGTTAGCCCGAGAAATCGTAATGACTCACTTTCCTAGAGGATAGCATCAACTACGCTGATGGAAGGCAGAGGACCAGAGGATTAATCGAGAGAAGTTTAGTTTTGGAGGCATTAAAATTGACAAGCCAGATTTTGCCCCTGGTAAGGACGGTCCTGAAGTCGTTTTGTACAACAGCTGCCATTTTGATACTGTCGGGCTGATCAGCCTTTCTATCAGTAAGTGACGTCAGTGTAGATGCATGCTGAGAGCTGATATCATCAGGAAGATCGTTAATGAACATGAAAAATAGCGTAGGACCCAGGATGGCACCCTGAGAGACACCCGCGTTAGTTCAAAAGGATATAAAGAGTAGCTCTTCAGGACAACTTTCATTTCACGATTTCAGGAACGACTGGATCAACTCGAAAACGTGCACGAAGATACCGTAACTTTTCAACTTGTGGAGAAAACCTGAATACCAGACCCTGACAAAGGCTTTCGAGATGTCCAATGCTATAGCCTTGACATCACCGTTTTTATCTAGAGTATGACTGATTTTTCTGAAGTTATCGTTAGTATATCATAAGTTGATCTGAAGAACCAGAAGCCGTATTATTTGTCTGAGAAAAGACACTTTGATAAGAGACGATGAATCAATTCAGCATTGATTAGAGTCTCGAGGCGTTTCCCATACAGCGGTAGAAGGCTAATACGCCGATAATTGGATAGGTCAAACGCTTCCGCAGAGTTCTTAAAAACTGGAATAAAATTTGACTACTTCCAGCAGGCAGAAGCAGAAAGCAGCGAGGCATTTATTATACAATTTAGAGAAAACAGGATACTGTTCGGGAGCACATTTCTTAATGACTATTACAGGGATACCATTGGGTTAACACGCTTTGTGACAATCAAGGTTAAATATAATAGCAGAGACCATAGAAGGGGTTATGTGCATATCACTCAACAGAGAATCAGTTCTAAGTAGGAAGTTAGGCAGAGACACTCCAGATGAGCCAAGAGTAAAGTTTGAAGAGAATTTATCAATAGAGGATGATAACACCTCGAATTGATTTCAGAGGGGGGAATAGAGATATTCACATATTTAGTACACAGTATTAAAGACACGCCAGAGCCAAAGTTTTTAGAAGCTATGCGGTGCCTCCTTCTCTCAGTAATCAGGGACTTATCTCCTTCGAGGGCACGCTTACATTTATTACGAACAATAGCAAATAGGCACCAGTTATGACGAGAGCTGTCAGGCTGCCATAGCCGGAAATCGTGATTCCTGTGTTCTATAGCGGCCGAGCATGCTGGTATGAACCACAGATAGGATTGCAGTTTCACCTGATATTTCCGAGAAGGGATGAGAGCGTCCATGTCAGCTTTGACTCGAGAAGAAACCTCAGTGGCGCAATTTTCAGTTGAGAAT